CAACATACACTTTATTTTAAGAAATTATTGATCTTTCCATTGAGCTTTCTTGAAGAGCATCAACTATGATATAAAGAAGCCCAACATATATTCCAAGCATATCCATTTACATATTATATCATGCCGCAATTTTTCAACTCATTCTAGTATTATAACTCATACTAATTGGGTCAACTATAAATATTCACCTGTTTCATTCAACACACATATTGCATTCAATATTGTGAGAATTTAGCATAATTTGACAGTTTTTATGCGGTGAAATAATAATTTTACAATATTTATGCGGTGAAATTAACCTACACGTCAATTATTAACACACCACAAAAGACAAGATAAAATTTAACTAGCAATGGAGTTAATATAGAAGACAACTAACAAAAACAGAAAATCAAGACTCAATAACCAGTATAACTCCCAAAGAGTAACTACTTTCCACAGTAGGAAGAAGGAAATTTTGAGAGCAAAAGAAACCAACCTGCAGCTTTGAAGAAGATGGTTTGATAACTACTGAAACTGTATAAACGATAATATAGCCTCTGTGGAAGAGGGTTTTGATAACTACTCCAAAAAGATAAAGAAAATTTTGAGAGCAAAAGAAACCAACCTGCAATATAAATGATAATACTTATTTTCAACTCAAGAATATGAAATTAAGATAAAATTGAAAACTTTTCTAGCCAAAAATTAAACAAAAAAATCACTTATGTAAGCCCAATAATCAGAAATTGAAAAAGAGTAAAACTTTGAGTATAAAATAAAGACTATTCAAAGCCTAGTAATTATACAAAAAAAATTACTTCTATCAACCCCATGATAAGAAGCTAGACAAATTGAAGCTTTAAGCATAAGATCGTCGACAATACGAAAATATCAAAATTAAACAAAAAATATTCCTTTTTTCAGCCCAAGAATCTAAAATAGCAAAAAATTAAAAATTTTGATACCCAAAAATTAAACAAAATAAAATTAGTTCTTGTTAGCCTAAGAATCTGAAATTACTGAAATTAGTAAAATATTAAAAACTTTGATAGCCAAAAATTGAAAAAAAAAATAAAATTACTTCTTTTTAGCCCAAGAATCTGAAATTTTAAAAAGTTCAAAACTTTGAGTATAAAACAAAGATTGTACCAAGATATCCAGATATTCTACACAATAAAAGATTATTTTTTTCATCCCCATTAGTAAGAAACTAGAAAATTTTGAATCTTAAAGTATAAGAACAAAACTAAAAATTGAAAAAAAAAGAAAAGTTTTGAGCAAAGAAATACTTACCAATAGAGAATGGGATGGAGATTTGCAATATATGGGTGAGGGTAATCTGGACGACACATGCAGCAGAGAATGGAAAGGAATGAATTAGGTTAAGGACGCAATTAAGGTGAAGCGACAGTGAGAGAAAAGAATTGGAGAAAGGACGATGATTTCATTGTCTTATTGGGGGAGGGGGGAGGGGGAGGGGGATATTTTCATTAATTATAATATTTGGGGGGAAATTTTGAGTGAAATTTTATATAAGAAATTTTTAGACTTTTTTCAATAGGGTTTCGTAGAACTGAACGGTCTTTGGCCTTATGAGAATTGGGGGAAAATATTTTATTAAGTGCAATTTTGGTGGAAAATTTTTGGGAAAATATTTTATAAGAAATTTTTAGGGTACGCTTGTCAAGTGTTGCATTTAATATGACAATGTAACAACTCTTTAAAAACGTAGCAATACACCTAAGAAGCGTGGCCAAATTTTTTATATTTAGGCAACACTTATAAAATGTTGTCAAAATTAACGCTTTATAAGTGTTACCTTAAAATTCTTGGCCAAAGACGATACTCAAAGGCCACGCCTAAAAAATTGTTCCTACAGATACTTTTGCCAACACTTTTTAAGCGTTACCTAAATTAGTGTGGCTGTAGGCATAAAATGTTGTAGTGGACGCCGCAAAAATCATATTCTTGGTCTAACATAACTAGACTTTGGACCAATATGCAAATAGATCTACTATCATAAATTATTTTACTGAAATTTAACTACTGAGCTAATCTCTAGGCTAAAACAAATCATTCCGAAAAGTATTAATGCTCACAGGGGGAACAATTGAACCTTATAAAATTCCTTACATCATATGAGATTCTCCGCGCCATCAAATCATTTAAGCCTCTTAAAGCACCAGGACCCGATGGCCTCCACCCACTCTTTTTTCAAAAGTTCTGGGAAGACAGTAATTGTGCTATTAATAAAACATGTATGGATGCATTCTCATCATCTCAAATTCCTCCAGAAATTAATTCTACTTACATCACCTGTTGATACCCAATTTTGACCTCATATTTTATAAATATCATTTATATTTTCAAAATATCCTTTTTGCACCAACACCAATTTACAATAGTCATATAAGTATTTTCTATAATTTTCTCATAATTGTTTTAGACTTTAAAATTAATTTTCCTCGCATTTAAATTATTCAAATATTTATTAAATACTCCTTTAAATTATTTTGTGATGACTTAATCATCCAAATTATTTTTTCACACCCACGTATATGTTTTATAACATTTTACTTCATTTTTCATATAATTACATTTGTATCTTTAGCTATTTACATAATTTTTGCAGTAATAGCCTATATTCTACGCATAATTATATTTATTACATTATTTATGCTAAAATAGTATTTTTACATTTTTATAATGTTAAGTTATTATTTTAATTATTTATATTGCATTAATAATATTTTATTATTTATTGACTATTTTATTTAAAATAATTTCATGTATTTAATTTATAGCCCAAATTTGAAGCCAAATTCGGAGCAATTCAATGGCCCAAGCACCCACACCTTAGCCCAATATCCCCCATCCCAAACCAAACACCCCCTTTAATTAAACCGGTCGGTTTCCGTTTAAACGACCCGCCGCATTCCCTTTTCGACTTGGCCGTTGATCTTAAATGAACAACGACCCACAATAACCTTCCCCTTTTCCTTATATCCTTTATCCTAAATCCTAGGGACATTCTCACCTAAAGAGCCGCGTCTGAAACCTATCTATTTCACTCGTCTCTGAGAAACCCTAGCCGCCATACCCTCAAATCCTTTCTCTAGTCCCGATATGGAATCTTTGCGTGATTCTCTTGCCTTATTCTGCTACTATTCACGCGTTTATGGAGTTAATTGGTATTTACCTAACTTTGGTGAAGGCTAACTGTAAGACGGGCCTGATTTGGCTCTATTTTTGAAAAGATTTGGCCGATGTTTCATCTATAATGAACGATTCTCATATTTTCGACTGGATTCATGGCCATTTGACTCAACTAGGTTTGAAATTTCGATTTCCCCTTTTGTCGGTTCTGTAACTGATTGCATGTGATATTCTTTCCTTATTTGTGCTTGATTAACTATTTTCCATATTTGTTCGATTTTACTGCTATATAACCCCTCCCCAATTTCCGTTTTGAATGGACCTGAGACTGAAATTAACTACTATTGCTCTCTTATTCTCTCATTCTATATACTATTCTGAAATTTGAGACCTTGGGCGGCTGAAAGTCAAGTCCACCAGAAATTCGATTGTTGCTCTTTCTTAGTGCGAGCATTACCCGTGGTTCACTTGAAACCCTTGGGAACTCTGACGCACTATGATTTTGGGGGTGTTATTGTTCGTTTGCTATTAACACTGAAGTTTTGCTCAAATCACACTTCTTGTTTACTTGTTCTTCTATAACTAGTAATGTATCTATAACTCTTGCAATTTCCTTTCCTTCTTGTTTGTATTTCTATCCTGCATATCTATGTCTCTAAGAGTTTGTATGAATCGACATGCCATTATGTGTTTTTGAAGTTCTCCTTGAGACTCTATGCATTCTAGTAGTTCAGCCTGCCTATTTTGATTCTGCCTTCTTAGGCTTGCCTGCTATTGCCTATGCTCGAATGCTTGTTATTGTTGTTTATTCTGAGTTTGGTTTCTTGCCTTTTTCTATACTATCGTGATAACTAACTCGTGCCCAAAATGTGTTCTGATTCCCGTTGAATCATTCATGTATGACTTAATACTCTTCTAGAGTTAACCCCTGATCATGTTATTAGCCTAAACCTGCTACTTATGAATTAATGTGTGCTCCCTACCTTGTCCTGTATCTCTGTGATAAATCAATGCCTGTGCTTCAGACCTTGTTGAGTTATTCTTACTCAACCTGCTAAATTTCTGAGGCTGTCTGATTAGCTAAGGCATGTTTCCATGCCATTCAAGTTTTAATGTATGTTTGATTTGTAAATCTTATGTCTTTAGCATTGCTTCTAGGGCACATTTCTATATTAGCTTCTTCTCTTATGTCTGGGTAACTGATATGAGTTATTATGCTTGTATGTCCTATTCTTTGTAAGTTGACATATTTTCACGAGTTCTCTAGATTTTGGCACTGTTGTGGTTTGTTGTAGACCATGCTACAAGGTCGTTGCCATACTGCTTGTGATCATGTTAGGCTCCCATGTTAGAAATCTTCATGTGAAATTGATATTCCTCTGAATATAACTACTATGATTAAGGCTCACCTGTCTAAAGTCTTTTGACCAATTCAGGCTAATATCTTTTGCCAAACTTGATTTCTGGAAACTTAGCATGTGTGTGTGTGTTTACCCTGTTAACCTAATAGACCTTCTTCTTAAGCCCTCCTAATGTGTGACTGTATTCAGCATGCTACATCCTGCCCTTTGTTGAATGATTGCTCAATACGGTGTTAGTTTTCTATGTCAAACTTGCTATGTTAAAATTGTCCACCTAGTTAGCATGTTCAAGCCCTCTTGCTTGACTAATCCTGCTCCCTTAGCTTCTAAAAAAAAAAAAAAAGAGTGACGAGATAGCTTCTAAAAAAACTTATCCAAGATGATGTTTCATTGACGAACAAAGTTGAGCTTAAATTTAAATATAAAGTGTGCACATCTCCAACGTGAATGCATTTGGCACCAAATTAAACTAATGAAGTAACCAATTAAACCCATCGTGCATCCGTAGCAATTTCGTGCTACTTTATAAAACTTGTTAATTACACATGCAAAATTAAAAGCAGAAACAATTACAATAAAGAGAGGGGAAAAATACGATTAAATGTCAAATTCACGTGAACTTCGCCCACAACCGACTCAAAAGGAAAGTACCTATCCCTTTAGGGGTAAGAAAATCATGATCAATATTGCGAATCAAAAACTATGGAATTTGGTGTGAGTCTTTTGTCGAGTGAAGAATATTATTTGTTGTGACCATGGTTTGCTCAAAATGCTTAAAACAAGGGGATCAGGTGGCATTTTGGCAAAAAAAAACTACTAGAGTAATCACAATTTATACTAAGAGATCCATGAACTTTGCCAATAGAAGTGGAAATTTCGCCGTGGCCTTTGCTTTGTCCTTGGAAGATGAATTAATACTACAATTTGGTTTTGGACATAGAAAGAAACTTCGAGATTCCAAATTCAGCAACTTCTCCCCGGGCTTCAAGCCTGTATATATATTCCCACCATGAAAATAGTTAGTCAAATAGAATATTAATTTCATATAAAAGTTACTTCCATCTTTCAATTTAATTGGAAGAATTTACTGAACACGAGACATTGCAGCGTACTCAGTATACTTCAGTTTTGAGAACATTAGTACACTATCCTATTTACTAAATTAATTAATTATCCGGCATCATTAGGCTTCTTGATGGGAAATTATGCACATTAGTGACCGGTATTATAGTGGGCTCCTTGTTTACTTCATAAGTTGAATTTGTTACCTTTCTCCTAAATAAATTGAAAATTCCCAACTACCCAAAGCATTAAGCAAAAATATAAAACTTTTTCCAACATAAGAAAATTATATTAGGAAAGTGAACTCAACAGAAAAAACAAAAATGCCTTAAAATTATTACTTAAACAAAGGACAAATATACGCCTCGGTCTGTTCCAAAATGTTTATCACTTATATTGTTTCCAATTGTCAAACAAGATTAACTTTGATTGATATTTCAAATATAATCTTTTGCCAATTGAATATTCAAAAAATTATAAATTTTTATCAAATTGACAAGCAAAATAAAATGTGTCAAACCAGTTATGACAAAAGGAGTATTCAAAACTCGTTGCTGCGCAATTTTCACAGTTTTGAAAATTGTCTACATATATATATGAAGAACAACATGGAAAATATGAAGCCACAAGCCCACAACCAAACACTTCTCTTTCTAATTTTTCTTTTTAAAAAATTTATAAATAATATGAAGTCGCAAAAAAAAAAAAAAAAGAATAAGGGATTTTGATATGCATAATATGCAAAAATATGATTTAAAGGGACAAAATTGCAATCAGCAAAACAAAATGACATAAACATTAATATTCCTTAAAGTTGGGAGCAAAACAAATTAAAGAACTTACTCTCCAAACTAAACTGGGAGTAATGAAGCTCGTAACACCGAGAATCACGACTAGGCAACAATGGCCGCCGCTTCTCCTTCACGTAAATCTCAATCGCAGCCTTTATCAAGTCCCCGACAGCGTTTTCGTGCGATATCACAACATGTACCGGCCCCAAACTGTTCTGTATATGCACATTCAACAACAACTTCTTTAGCTTCTTTTGCTTCTCCTCACCAATTGTTGTCATATTTCCAGCCACAACATCTATGCTGCTGCCTACGCCCTTTTGTACTGAACATTCTAATTTTCTCTGTATCGTTTCAATTTTATTTGGTGTTTCCAATAGAATTTTCGAATTTGTATGTACATCGGCAAGTCTTGGCGGAGCTCTCATTTCTGGTCTGAGATTTAGAAGATCTCCGATATCAAATATCATACTAGGATAAATTTTAATGGGTAGCAGTATATGATGATTGATATATGTTGAGATATCTGTGTTTGTATAGCTAGATATATTACGTAAGATATGGGGAGTTTCTGATAACGATATTTGGCTGACATTTGTGAATGAAATCATTTCAGTTGATGGCGCGGGAAGCTTCTTGGAAATTGCAGGTATCACTATCTGTTCTCCCAAAGTTTTGATAAAATACTACATACTCCTTAACATCTTGAATTTCTTTGTCCTTTTCCCTTTTTTGTTTGGTCGTGATGTTGGCTTACGAATAATTTCTCAAAATAATTTTGATTCAGCCTGTAATGGTAGAAAAAGAACATTACACGTGGAGTGTCAGTAAGCTGACTAGGCATGACACGTGGAGCAATGATTCAACGATAAATGGCGTTCTCAATAATAGAATTAATTGAGAAAGAAAAGGCGCGGGAAAAACACCCAAGGAATGGTACGAAGAAGAGGACCGAGCCTTACAGTTGTTAAAGAAAAAGCAGGAACATAATGAATCAGAACCAAAAGAAGGAAGATACACGAATTAGAAGTAAATAAGGAAGGAGAATTGAAACAGTTATAAGGCATTTATAACAATAAACACGCTAGTTACAATTATGTGAGGTACTGGCAATCAATACAATTAATGCCCATAATGAACCCAAATTATATGGGGAAACCGTTACGATTGTAAACTCTTATATAAGGACACAAAATTTCATTTGTAAGGAGATATTCCAAGTACTATTGAAATATACTTTTTACTTTTCTGCCTTCTCGAAATTCTCTGTCTTGACTTTACAATACCATCAATTAGTTCCTTTTCCATTCTTATTATTTTCCTTAAATATTATTGTGAAAGTGAAGTAAAACTTGGTTATCAATAACCTGTTTTCTTCTAAATTTAGACTTTGACCGATAAATTTATTTTTTGGTTAAACAAATTGGTTCCATTACCGAGAATCTGATAATCTTTTCACTTTCCAAATTCTCTTTCTGATAACCAATCATGTCAACTGTCAACAAAAATAACCAGCTAAATCCATAGGAGGAAGGAACTCCACCCATCCCTGCACCACACGAATCTCCTCGACAGTCCCGAGAGGGGACACCTGAAAGATCAACATCGCACACGAATGATCATCAAGGGGACGAGCAAACTGTCGAACAAGACGCTTTAAAACAATTAAACGCAGAACACGTGAACAACGCTCTTCAAGCCTTCGTTAGGGGATTGCCAACCGCGCCACCAACTCTTCCTCCAAACAATACCGCAACCATAGAAAACCCACGCTCAGGGCTTGCTAATTCAGGAAGCGGAGGAACTCCCAGTGAATCTCGTGATGGAAGGTTAGGTACACCACATAATTTTGATTGACAAAGTTTGGTACTAACTTTGCAGAAACAACTGAAAGAGCAAAATAATCGCATAGAACAAATACCTGGCGTACCACCCATGATTAAAGGAGTAGATATCGATAAATATTCACAACAGCCTTGGAAGCCAAGTGCAACACCTTTGCCGATTCCTAAGAAGTTTAAAATGCCTGATATTCCAAAATATGATGGAACAACTGACCCGCAAGATCACGTAACCGCGTTTACAACTAGCATGAAAGCCAACGATTTAACCAAGCAAGAAATTGAATAAGTTTTGGTCAAAAAATTTGATGAAACACTCACGAAAGGAGCATTAATGTGGTATTCTCTCTTACTTGAAAACTCTATTGATTCTTTTGCTGATCTTGCAAATTCATTTATAAAAGCACATTCGGGGGTTCATAAGTTAAAAAAGGATGGAAGACATCTTTAAAGTAAAACAAGGAAACACAGAGCTACTCAGTGAGTTTGTGGATAGATTCCAACGGGAGAGGATGATGTTACTACGAGTACCTAACAATTGGGCAGCCATGGCGTTTGCAAGCAACCTCAACGAGAAAAGTTCAGAAGCCACGAGAAGACTGAAGGAAAGTTTGCGAGAATTTCCAGCAACAACTTGGAACGACGTGTATAACAGATACAACACGAAGTTGCGAATAGAGGAAGACACGGTTGCACAACTAAGGGTTCATGAAAGAGTAGGGTCAAGATGCTCAGAATCAGAAAAAAGGACTGGGCAAAACAGGTATGAGCCCCATATGGGTCCCGCAGGTCGAGATTCTCTGTCCAAACAAGAAAACTTAAGATATGAATCGAGGTCAAGGAAAAAAGATGCAGGTTCCTCATCTAGATTCAGAAAGGAACGGGATGCACGAGGAGACAATTCCAACGCACACGCGAGAATCAGAGACTACAGTTTTAATGTCAGTACCTCCGAGTTGGTGGTTGTTTTAAGAGGTATGGGAGATAAGGTACGGTGGCCCAAAGAAATGAGGTTAGACCCAAGCAAAAGAAATCCAGATCACTGGTGTGAATTTCACAATGATCACGACCATAGAACAATAGATTGCAGGTCACTACAAGGAAAGGTTGAGCATTTGTTGAAGCAAGGTTATCTAACTGACCTGTTCAGCGAGAAAGGTAGAAAATCATACATGAAGAACATACAAGAACCCCTAAAGCCCCCATCTCCAAAAAGAATAGTTAATCTAATAACCGGGGGAGACGAAGTCAATGGTGTGACTTATACAGCTGCAAAGAAGACATAAAAAGTTATAGTCACTCATGGGAAGCAAATACCCCAAACCTTGGAAGAAGACAGTATAACATTTAATGATGAGGATGCTGACGGCTTGATGATTTCTCACAATGACGCACTGGTAATATCTTTACTTGTACATGATACTAACATAAAATGAGTTTTGATTGACCCAGGTAGTTCCGCGAATATCATTTTATTAAGAGTGGTGGAGGAAATGCAAGCTAATGACAAAATGATACCAAAGGCGCGGTCTTTATCTGGATTTGATAATTCGAGTGTTATCACAAAAGGGGAAATTGTGCTAGCTACGTTTGCAGAGGGGGTTATCAAGGATACAATGTTTCAGGTGATAGATGCAAATATGACTTATAATATAATCCTAGGAAGACCATGGATTCACGATATGGATGTTGTACCATCCATGTTGCATCAAGTTATCAAATTTCCCTCACAGTGGGGGATTCGTCAAATCTGTCACGCCCCAACCTCGGGAGGCGCGACCGGCGCTCAATCGAGTGAACTCGATTGAGCAAGCCTTTTGAACACTTTCTACCCAACTCACTATGATCAAGAAACCATGCTTTTATTTAACTAGACAGTAGGAAAGACCGTACATATAACATTGCTAGTTCATTTTATATTACAACCCTTAAGCCATAGTTAAGTTCCAAAATTTCATGTAGTACAGTTTAGAAGAACAAGAGTTTAGAATTACAACATAGTCCAGTGACCCATCCAACACCCGTACATAACCCACACAAACGTCTATGGAGTCTCTAAAGATACAAAAGACATTTATGATAATGCCGGCAATAAGGCCCCGACTATACCTCAAAAAGTGGTAATTTATAGCAAAAGATATACTGCATAACCCCTGGAAGAAAAGGGGCTCACCAAGATTGCTGAGAGGAGGATGCTCCGCTACCTGCGATCGACACTGTCTGCTATGGAACCACCTACATCCATTTAAAGATGTAGCGCCCCCGGCAAAAGGGATGTTAGTACCGTAGAATACTACTAGTATGTACAACTAAACACCATCTCATTAGAAAGAAAAACCATACAAAAATAAAGAAATCATAAGGATCAACAAAATCTTTAAACAATCACAACATCATCAAATAAAGGGATCACATAGCTTTCACAGAATTTCCATAGCTTTAGGTTGGGACATTTAATACCGCTATATCATCATTCACAATACCAGCGCTTTCTTGAGCGGAGTCCGATCACGACCCGATCGGCTAAGTTGCCTCATTTGAGACATGTACCTCAAACACAATTTTATTCTCACTTTCCGCTTTCAATATCAGCACAATACCACCATGTGTGTGGCATGGCGTCCGATCACGGCCCGATCGGCTAAACCGTCTTACAAAGACGTTTCCCTTTTCCATCAATAATCTCACTTCAACTTTTACACATATATCAGTTCATCGGCACTTGGGCCACAATTATCACATCATACTTGGCACTAGGCCACGTTTCACAACTCAAACTCTTTTCCCCCACATTTCACATCATTTCCACTTTCTAACATTAACCTTGCAATTTAAGATGATAGGCACATACGAGAGCAATTCAAGTTGTAAGCATAGAGAGGATTTCACATAGTTTGGCATAACAATCTCAATTTAAACTTGACCTGAAATCTAGGCATTTTAGCACATGGTTCACATTCTTCACACATCCCCAATTTACCATGAATAGCATATTGAACACATTAAGACACACCTTTCACATATATTCTTGCAACACCAATTCATTTGAAATAGCAAGCACTACATCAATCAAATTTCGAAACTTACAACATTTACATGGACACCAAGGGAGCTTAATTTCTAAGAAGAGGGGAGTTTTAGCCATACATACTCAATAGGGCTTTCCTTAAATTCTTACAATAATTCCGGAACTCTTAGCAACTTCGATCTATTTTATGAGAATTACAAGTTGAACCAGAAATTAGAAAAATAATCAAGATTCTAGCTCATTTGAGTACATTATCAAGCACTAGGTGTGCATTATGATTTTTAAGATCTTTTTGTGAAAGATTCTATCATCCTACACCCCCATTTGTTACATTTTTAGCTCACAATCTCCCCATACCCTATTATCATACATGCATGCAAGATAATCAGCCTTCATACCCATGAACCCACTTGTTAATTACTTATTTTAGTAGGGATTTCGAAATTAAAGGTTAGGGCACAAGTTCTTACCTCTTAGGATGAAGGCTTAGTAACCTTACTTGATACTCTTCAAAGATTTGGGCAAGGATTGAATAGTAACTTGGTGAGGATCACTTTCTCCCTCTAGAACTCTTTCTCTCACTCTAAATGTAGTAGAAAATAGCACAATAGGGTCTAATGGGGTGTTTTTAACGGAATGGGGTCGGGTTTTAAAAGTTAGAAAATAGGATCCCCGACTCAATCTGCGGTCGCATATGCGACCGTATA